CCCCGGCCTCTTTACCATTTTTAAAATCTCTTAGTATCCCTTGTATTTTTGTTGTTGTTTTTATTGTTAATAAAAAAGCCAGTATTGGGCCAGGGATTTAGCTCAGCGGTTCGGTGGCCTGCCTTGCAAGCACAAGGACCCAAGTTCAATCCCGGGTACCAAAAATAAAAAAATAAACAAAAAAAGCCAGTATGATATCCTAAGTAAAGGAAAGAGCTAAATAGGCCTTTTATTTACTAGTAATTAAACTGTGTTGTTATAGTGTAGCAAAATTTTCTTTTGATATCATTTGTTGTCTACAATATTATCTTTGGTTTTCCTGGAAACTACTTAAATAAGTCCTGATATTTTCAGTTTTTTTTCAATTTTAATATACTGCTGGGATACAGAATCTTTAGTGATGCATACAAAGTTGTAGAGGGAATGGGAACATTTCCTAGTCCTATTATTGTTTCAGTGAAGTTTTACCTCTGGTTTGCAGCATTTACAAGTGTTCCTCAGTTGTTCTTGTTGTTACCCCATTAGAAGAGATAGGATGCATACAGGTGCTACAGTTGAATATTTTCCTCTAATCTGTGACCATGCAAGTATTTCCTAACTTTTTTCCTCCCAGAGGGAGTTGGGAATCATGGATATGGTTGGAATTGAAAATGTCATTTCTGAGGTGGAATAAGGCTCTGGCATTCTTTCTTAAGAATAGTCAGTTGTTATGGAAGATAATCTGGATATACTTATACATAGTTATGTTTTCCTTCCCTCTGCTGGATCCCAAAGGGGATATTTTGGCTCTTTACCATGAGAAGGAGTGGTCAAAAGGCCTTCTAAGACTGACTCCCTGAATTTCTCATTCTTCTTTTTGATTCTTCAAAATTAACATTTTGAATTTAAAATTCAAAATTAATATTTTGAATTTAAAATTCAAAATTAACATTTAAGTGTTCCTGCCAATTTATGGCTCCATTAGAATCTGTTCTTGGTACACAGATCTCAACTTCAGCTCTGAATTTAACTATTTCTCCAAATTTTATGATAGTATTCTGTCCTGTTACCTTAGTTTTCTGAGGGGTCTGAGAGCAGCTATTTATTTTGTTTGTTCTGTTTTCTTATAGTAAGTTTGAGAATTTTAAATTCAAGAATCTTTATATTTTACAGGTGAAACTAACATTTTTGGCCTTTTTATCTGTGCTATTTGAAGATTATTGACAGCTATTGATCTAAATTCTCTGAGGGCCCATTAACTATTCCTGTTGAAATGATTGAATTGATAAGTGACTGTGTCAACAAAGTACCAGAAGTACCTAATTTTTTTTTTTTTTGCAAATAAGAGTTGTTGAAGAGAGATTGTTTGAACCATGAATACTACTTCTAGAAAGTTTTCCTTAAGGAAATAGCTAAGGATGTGCAAATCAATTTAGCTGTTCTTTCATCTATGAGCTGACTTAAGAGAACACCAAAGAGGGAGTACATCAAAAGTGTAAATACAAATGGAAAAACTTGGAAGTGATCCAGGCAGCAGCATACAAAAATACTTACCTAATCCACAGAGTTTTTCAAGGTCTGTCTCAATATTCTGGAATTCACCCAGATGATCATGCCAGGTGTCAGAGGATAAAAACCTTAAATGGCCTGATACAAATAAGAATATATAAGTGAAATATACTATTTAGTAACAGAAATTTATTACAAGGATGCTTGTCACAAAACTGATTACAATTAGAAAACAAATATATAACCTAAATATGTGAGTATAGACATTTTATAATTTATATCAAACTCGTGAGATGGACTGGATATGTTAACTGGATCTAGGCATTTCACAATGTATGCATATATCAAAAATCATGTACACTGTATATATATATATATATATATATATATACACACACACACAATTTTCATTTGTCAATGAAAATGAAATAACATCTATAAAAGAGCTTCTGAAATATCATGTTGGCATGGAGAATTATACAATTCAAATTCTTGTCAATATGACATAAAAATTGTAACACTATTATTTCTATTTGTTCTCAATTTTGAATGCACTTATCAGTCCGCATAGGCTATGTTACATTGCAGTAACAAATGATCCCAAAATCTTAGTAATTTAAAATACTAAAAATATATTTCTTGTCTACAATACATGTCCAACACATGTCCATTGGGGACTTTGATTATTAGGATTAAAATGATGGAACAGTCACTATCTGGAACATTGTTGATTACAATATCTTAAGGCCAAAAAAAAACAGATTATGGTAAATTTCACAGTGGCTTTTAAAATTTTCTTTCTAGAACTAACAAAAATAAGTGGTTCAGTTTCAATGATTGAAGAAAATGACATGGATGTGGTTTTGTTCAAAAGTAAATACAAAGAGCAGTGCCTGAAAATTGGACAGCAGAAAATCCAGGTGAGCAACATTAATAAGTAAAAAAGTCTCAGATATTTTTACTGGGTTAACCTATTTCATTTTCTGTTGAAGTATTTACTTACCATTCCATTGGCTTAAACACTCCATTGATTTAAACTGTGTAAATTCAGAAATTAGCCTACTGACTATAAGCTTTACAGACTATATATATTTATAGTTATAAATTTTATAGATTATAAGTTTTATAGTAATATTCCAGTATATTCTGTTTTTTGCTTATTTATCATTTTAATACAGCTTTATTAAAGTACAATTCACCAGTTTAACTATTTGATTTATGTATGATTCAATGACTTGTAATATATTTACAGAGATGTACATTTATCACTAAGGTTAGTTTTACAACATTCTCATTAGTCCAAGATACAACATGTCCATTAGCTTTCAGGTTACATTGCCCCCACCTCCCAACAAGAGCCATGAATAATCTACTTTCTGTCTCCGTAAATTGACCTATTCTGGACATTTCTTATAAATGGAATTATGCACTATGTAGATGATGTGATTAAGTTGGTCTTGACATCTCTCTCTGGAAATTGACCATAAATTTTAGCTCTGCCCTGACATAATCCAGGGGTAGGTGATCATAGAGATTTGTACTATACCTTTTATAGGACACCCTAGTAGACAGCCTGATACCTAAGTGTCCAAAATGTGACCAGATGTCAACCTCACAAGAAACGTGATTACAAGAATAGCAGATGCCTTGTGGTTCTTGTCTGAGCTATCTACAGCTTATTCTTACCAAGACAGCCCCTTTTAAAGGTAGTCTTGTCCAGAAGTAGAGTTGGGTTTGGATATAGTAATCAGATGAGACACAGAGAAGGCAGTCCAACAAAACAAGTGAAGTAGAAGTATTATTACTCATATCCACAAGGGAAAGGGGGTTCATAAGAGTGCCAGTGGGAAGTCTAGAGGCAACAGAAGGTGTGGAATGACAAAGAGATGGACTTGTGAGCTAGTCATTATTGGAATCAAGAGGATTATGCAAATGGATTTCCTATAGGAATTTCTAACTGATGAGTTGAAAGTAAGTAAGCATGAATTTCAAGAAGTTATGCCTCAATTAAGGGATGATCATTGTGGGGTAATTGAAAAGTTTGTTTGGGGTGTAAAGATCACTGGAGCCAATCAAATAGGCTATATCTGTCTGTCTCAGCAGGTAGTATTTACCAGGAAGTGGTTGTATAAGGAAAAGAATTTGCCTACATGGAAGACCTAGAAGAGAGCATAGAAACTGGTGACTGAGGCCTAATTTCTTTTTATGAGAAAGTTAACCCTATATCTAAAATAGGTGCCAGTGCAATAAAATTATAGGAATTTACTACAATGTTTCTTTGTGACTTTCTTCCTTCACTTACCATAATGTTTTTAAGGTTCTTCCATGTTATAGTATTTATTATTTCATTGATGAAAATTATTCTGCTGTATAAATATACCAGCTTTTATTTATCTACTTAACAGTAGACAGTTACTTAGATTGTTTTTATTCATTGTCTATTATGAAAAAAGCTGCTATGAACATGCGTGTGCAATATTTTAGGTAGGCATATGTTTTCATTTCTCTTGGATATATGCCTAGAACTGGAAGAGTTGGAACATATGGTTACCTTTTTAGGAACTACCTAAAATTCCCAAAACAACAGCACAATTTTACATTCCCACCATCAGCATATAAAGATTATAGTATGTCTATGTCTTGCTAACACATTTTATTATCTGCATTTTTTATTATAATCACTCTAGTGGTTGTGAAGAAATATCTAATTGTGGCTTTGATTTCCACTCATTTCCTACCTAATTATGTTGAGCATTTTTTTCTTTTACAATTTTTACATTTTCTACAAACAAATATCTACCCAGATCTTAAAATCATGTTATGGTTTGTATCAAAAAAGTCTCCCTAAAGGCTCATGAGTTCAAAGGTAGGTATTTGGAAATATTATAAGACTATGAAGAGTTAACCTCATCAATTGAGGAACCCATTGAGTTCATAGTTGAATGTACTAGTAGAAAGTAGGGCCTGGTTGGAGAAAGTAGGTCATTGGAGGTGTGGCTTTGAAGTGTATCTTTCCTTGCACTGTCTCCCTGCTCACTCTGCTTCCTGGCAGAGTGTTGAACATGGGTTCAACAACTGCCCTCCACCATCCTCTTCTATCATCTTTCTGCTTTGGAGCTAGGCAACCATGAGGCTGAAACCTATGAAACCATGAACAAAAATAAACTCTTTAAATTGGTCATATATTTAAATTTATGTCACATATTTTTTCCAGAACAAGAAAGGTGACCAATACATAACACCCCACAGATAAATTGTTTGTTTTTTATTCTTGAGTTGTCCATTTACTATTAACTTGAATTTTTAGATACAATATCTAATCAAACAAGTGA